CCCCAAAACCCCAAAACCCCAAAACCCCAAAACCCCAAAACCCCAAAACCCCATATATTAATTCTTTGATGAAAATGGGTTACTACGTAATAGATCAGGTTATACTACCCCAGTCTATACTACTTAGATCTACCTCCCCAATAACTCTTGTAATAAAGTACCAAGATTGTTTTATACAAAAAATTGTTAAATTACGATAATTTACTGGTGATGTTAACTTATAATAAGAAATTCTTCAATCTATTCTTGACAATTGCTTCTTTCTCTTCTTTGGTTACTCTCTTGATCACTGTCTAAAGGAATTATGCATACATGCTTACTTTTCCGTCAACCGTATCAATGTCTACATGAGAGGTAGCAATTGAAGAGACTTTGTTGGTGTTAGAGTTTTCACTTCTCTTAGTGACTGCTTTCTTAAGACCGGTGTTCCTATGAGACTCTTCATTTCTTTTACATTCTCTCCTAATTGCACTGATTCGGTCATTCTGAGAGTTTAAGGTATATCTCTGACTTATTTGTCTAGTGATCGCTTCACAATCGTCGTATCCAAAGTCAAAGGATTCTTCACCAGAGCTTACTGATAACTCTTCATCAAAATTTGAATGATAGAATTTTCTATAATTAGATCTCTTCCGAGAGGCTATAGGCTTCACATTGTTCTCGCTCATTGCTCTATTAAGAGATTCTACATAATCCTCAATGGCTTCGACTTGATCGTAATCATTTCAATGCTCTGAGAACTCATTGTATTCATCAAGAGAAATATTTTTCTGAGTTCTCCACTCTGCTAGCTTTGAGTGGCCGTTGTTCTCAAAAATATTTGGAGAAGCGCTTCTTAATGTATCCTCCATATCATCCTCCTCTATAGAACTTGGGATCAGCAAGTTGTTATCTTGGAAACTTGAGTGCTTATTTGTCGTCCTTAATGAAACTGATGCTGACTTTTGCATCCTGGACATCTTGCCTGTCAAGCGCTCCTGCTTGCTTTCAGAGTGATTGCTCTGGCTTCCATCTTCATTAGCCATATATTTATACTCAACTTCTCCAGCTAGAGTAAGGGTTAGCACAGAAGTAACTGATAGTGTAAGAAACAATTGAAAAAATACGTACCACCAGGGAAATTTTTCAATTGGCCCAGATTATTCGAAACAAATTGTTTCAGATAAGGAGAACTGAGTCCTTTAGTCTCTATCTGCATAGTCCCCATAGTAGAGTTGCCTGAGTTCTTAGTGTTTTTCCTCTGCAGAATGGGTGAGATTTTGGAGTTGGTCCTTTCTTTTCTATCCTTTGTACTATCTAGCCTGTCCTTCACTAATTTTATTGTTAAACCGATAATTTTTGTGTCAAAATTTATCGCTGTTAAGAACTTTTCTAACTTGCTAAAATGGAGATGTTTTACAACCCTTGTCAAGGCATAAAAATTTAAAGGTTACTCACGGGATACTCTGTGTTTAATGCTCATAACTGGAGTCGATATCTCCTGATCATTCGTCTTCTTCCTGTAAGACAAGCAGCTAGCTCTACATCCTTTTGATAAGGTAGCCTATTAAAGGTGTTAATCTCCAAAATGTGCACAACTTAGAGGGAAATGTAATAAAGAGTGAAAGTAAACTTAAGAAGGATTTTTGTCTATTCTTTTATTAGAAAGGCTTTATGGCTCACCAATTGGTGGGAGCTTCAAAGTTTGCACATATTTATCAATAAAATAGTGGAATCCATTGCTAAATTTATTTTTCATGAATTTGGTTGACTTTTCATGTTAGGTAAATCTAAACCTTCACCCTTTGCTATAAACCAATAAACCTATTTTGACCAAACTTATCCTCACTATGATATTTTGAATAAAAAAGACACTCTGGTCATTTGCTAAGCTGGCAAGTTCTGGATTTTTGAAGTTGATCTTCACATATTCTTAAAAGTGCAGTATATTTTATTTCGAAACTTCTATATTAAACTAGGAAGATAGCTTGACCTATCAGTGTAAGAATTTATGAAGAAGAGCTTCTCGAGAAGCAAGGACTCCTAAATGCTTATATATCATTCCTTCCATAATTTGGGAGACGTTCATTATTGTACGAAGTGATTATATATTTCCACACAAATTTTGAGGAATTTTCGAAGAATTTTAGGAGAATTTGTACACCTTGTTTCAAGGATAAACAGTTTGAGAATTTATTGCTCACAGTGCTCATGCTGTTAATCAATTTGAACAAAACAAATGTTGCTTATTTACTCACCTCAGAGCTGCTCAAGAACATATTTGGTGAATAATTACTCAAGTTGTTCTTGCAAATTATGGTACAAAATTTGCAACTCTTGGTCATTATCACAAGAAGGAATTTGATAACCTGTGTTTAAAAAGAAAGAAAACATCATTGAGAATGACGAAGCGCTTTATTCTAGATTTAACTCCATTACTTTTCCATAGCTTTACGGGGGAGGGGTTAGCCTCTAGTTCAGAAATGTATTTAAAAGTTGCATGTACCACGAAGTGTACTTAATAATGGCATCAAAATATTACCAGTTAACATAATGAGTAACTGGTTTTACATATGGTAGTCTTATTCGAGGAGTAATATCAGCAGAAACTAATATCCTTGACTAAAAAGAGACTCAGATAGAATTCATCCACTTTTGCGCAATTCCATTCTCTTATTGGTTAAGATTGGAGAGAGTTTAGCATAAACTACCAACAACTTAAGAGGATGTATCTTCTAAATTGATTTAAAAGCAGTAAAATGCTCTCTCAGAGCTAAGTAGAGGCCATTAGTCAAATTTGGAGAATAGAAATTTTTATGCTTTCATACCTTATCTTGTTCTTGCTTGTTATAAAGAACTTTGGATAATTTCGTCCTGGCTTTCCTGTTGCTAACTCTTTTCTTATCCTTGCTAAAACAGCAAGCTATTTTACAAAACAGGCTTGTAATCTTTGAAGGTTTTCTCTCTAAACCAAAACATTATGACAGTCCTAAAATCTAATCCTTTGGGCTTCAACTCTAATCAGAATTTTTACAGATTTCCAACTTCTCCTTATCATTTTCTCAAAATTCCAAAGCAGCCCAACAACCTACCACCCCTGCTTCTCCCCTTATCCCAAACAAGGCTAATCCCAAGCCTAGTTCCCCACTAAAGTTCCTTAGAAAGGTAGCTCTAAACTCTCATTACCTTCAAGTTTCATGATAAATTAATAATTCCTCTTGGTTAATTTTATAAGGGGTTTTGGGGTTTTGGGGTTTTGGGGTTTTGGGG